CGCGCTGCAGCCCTCCGCGCCCCCTATCATGCCCCGGGCCCGGGCGGTGGCCTCCGACGCAGCCAGGACACCATGCCCGAGGGCGGCGACGGCGGAGAGGTGCCCGTGCTCATCCCGGACGGCGAGCCGCTGCGCGAGGAGGTACCGGCGCTGGCAGAAGGGCCGGAGCCGGGTCGGGCCGCGGGGAGGACGGTGGGCGAGCCCCGGGAAGAGCTGCTGAGGGGAGTCCCGGCGCCCCTACGGCCGATGACGTCATCGGGGCAGCCCTGTGTCCTGCCAGGGGTCCCGGTATCTAGGGGCCCGCGTGGTGGCAGGGGTGGGGCGGCTGGGCAGGAAAGGGGGGCGACTCCGCCCCCGGCGCCCCTTCTTTCAGCCTCGCCTGTCCTGTGACGTCAGCACCTGGCCCCCGCATCCCCATTCCGCAGCGTGGCCCACAGGCTGCCGTCACCGCCTGGGCCCGGGGTCAGACCACCAGTCCGGCCCCTCTGCTCACGAGGTGCTGGGTGGCACCTGCATTGCAGCAGCAGCAAGGTTGGGGGGGAGGGAGGTGGCGGGAAGGAGGAGGGGAGCAGGAAGGGAGGTGCCTCTGGTACCCCTCCTTCCTCCCCCCCTCCCTCAGCGAGGCCTGAGGACCCATCTCGCAGGCGGGGACCCCAGGATGGCTCCCCCCCAGCCCTAGCCAGGAAGACGATCTGCAGGAGTTGGGGGGAGGGCCTGGTTGGGGTGCTGGCGGTGATCAGGTGGGAGTGGGCCTGTATGTGTGACTGGGGGAAGGTAGTGTGCTTGTGGGTGTGTGTGACTTCGGGTGTGGGTTCCCCACACCTGTGTGGACATGTGTGCCTTCTAGCCAGGTGAGGGTCTGGGGGGGCCCTTGGCCTGGGTGCGCTGGTAATGTGTGCGTGCATGCCGTGGGCGGGTCTCTTCGGAATGGAGGCCGGGTGTGAGTGGCACATTGCAGTGGGTGGGGTGGGGTGACCGGTGTGCGCACTGTGGTCAGGTGAGGGTCTGGCGTGTCTCTGGGCTTCAGTTGATGTGAAACGTGTATGCGTGTGTGTGCTTTGTAGGGTGTGTGTGTGCATATGCACTTGTGGACATTGTGCTGTGGCTGTTGGGGTTTGTGCCCTGTGGGCAGGTGAGGGTCCCACATGTCTTGGATGAACAGGCAGGTGTACATCCTGAGTTGGGTAGGTCTGTCATGAACACATGTCTTGGGGCACCTGATGAGTGGGGGGGGGTGTGACTGGCCATGGGGTCAGAGTGCTGGTGTGCCCCTGTGGTGAGTAAACTGCCATGGGCGGGGGATGGGGGGTACAGGCTGCCCTGGGCTGGGCTGGGGGTGGTTCCTATCCTCTTGGGCCTCTCAAGGCCTGGTGGGGCCGGGTTGGGACAGGTGGCCCCTTAACACACCTCTGCTGTTTCCACCCAACTCTCTCTTCCCTTCCCACCTTTTGACCCATCCCTGCCCCACTTTCTTTCTCCGTAGGCACCTAGGGGTGAGGTAGGGGCCAGGTTGGCAGCCCTGCTAGGGGAAGCAGACTAGGCCCTCGGGGCCAAGAAGTGTCCCCTGCCACCCAGCAGCTGTCTGTCCCACCCCCTCCTTCAAGGCAGATGGGGAGTGGAGGACAGCCCTCCATCTGCTCTCCACAAGACTCACACATCCCCCGCTCCCAGCTCTTCCTTTTTCTCACTTACTTAAACGCTTCTCCCGAGTCTTCTGCCAACCCTAGTGGATGCAAGCGACCAGAGGAGGTCACAGGGTAACAGGGACAATATTTATTCCCATGGCCAGACCCTGTGCTAAGATCTTCACACATGATCTCGTTGAATCCTCACAACAGCCCCAGTTCACAGATGAGGAAATTGAGGCCCAGAGAGGATGAGGGACCTGCCCCAGCCATACAGTAAGTGGTGGAGTCAGCACCAGATCCTCGGCAGCTGGGCTTCAAAGCCCATGTGTTCACCCCTCCAGCCTCTGCCACCCTGGCCCCCAGACCATCGGGGCCAGGAATCAAGGCCTAGAGATGGCAGGGACATGGCCAAGGCAACACAGCAAACAAATCAGGGGTAGAGCTGGGACTAGAACTCAGATTTCTCAGTGCTGCTCTGGGGTCCTTCTGTCTCCTGGCAGAGATGGGTCTGGGTGTCCTAGGTGCCCTCGGCTGAGGATGAGAGAGCACAGTGCAAAGGCGTCAGGCTCTGCGTGTGAATCCTGCAGCTCCGCTCTGAGTTAGCCAGAAACGGGATCCCTCGGAGCCTCAGTTTCCTCCTCTGTAAGGTGGGGAATCCCAGCACCCTCTTCTACGGGGCAGGCCCCTTCCTGACGCCGCCTCCCCCTCTCTGCCCACCCCGCAGCAGCGGCCCCTGAAACAGTCGCTGGGAAGCTCCCTGTGCCGCGAGTCGCACTGGAAGTGCCTGCTGCTCACGCTGCTCATCCACGCCTGCGGCGCCGTGGTGGTCTGGTGCCGTCTGGCCACGGTGCCACGGCTGGTCCTGGGCCCCGAGGCGGCCCTGGCCCGTGGGGCCGGGGGTCCGCCGCCGACCTACCCAGCCAGCCCCTGCTCCGATGGCTACCTGTACATCCCGCTGGCCTTCGTCTCCCTTCTCTACCTCCTCTACCTGGCTGAGTGCTGGCACTGTCACATGCGGTCCTGCCAGGCACCCCGCACGGACGCCAACACAGTGCTCGCCTTGATCCGTCGGCTGCAGCAGGCCCCGCCCTGCGTCTGGTGGAAGGCCACCAGCTACCATTATGTGCGGCGCACGCGCCAGATCACCCGCTACCGGAACGGCGATGCCTACACCACCACGCAGGTCTACCACGAGCGGGCCGACAGCCGCACGGCCCGGGGCGAGTTCGACTACTCGGCCCACGGGGTCCGCGACGTCTCCAAGGAGCTCGTGGGCCTGGCCGAGCACGCGGCCACGCGGCTGCGCTTCACCAAGTGCTTCAGCTTCGGCAGCGCCGAGGCCGAGGCTTCGTACCTCACGCAGAGGGCTCGCTTCTTCGGCGCCAACGAGGGCCTGGACGACTACCTGGAGGCCCGTGAGGGCATGCACCTGAAGGACGTGGACTTCCGCGATTCCCTCATGGTCTTCGCCGACCCCCGCAGCCCGCCCTGGTACGCCCGCGCCTGGGTCTTCTGGCTGGTGTCGGCCGCCACGCTGTCCTGGCCCCTGCGCGTGGTGGCGGCCTGCGGCACGGCCCACGTGCACTACCAGGTGGAGAAGCTCTTTGGCGCCAGCTCGCCCCCTCCCGGGGCAGTGCCCAGTGGGCCCCCGCTCTCCCGCGTGGCCACGGTGGACTTCACTGAGCTCGAGTGGCACATCTGCTCCAACCGCCAGCTGGTGCCCAGCTACTCCGAGGCCGTGGTCATGGGCGCTGGGTCAGGCGCCTACCTCCGTGGCTGCCAGCGCTGCCGCCGCTCCATCAGCAGCAACTCGCTGCCCCCAGCCCGGCCCAGCGGGCCCCGCCTGCCCTTCAGCCGCAGCCGCCTCTCGCTGGGAGCTGGGGGTCGGGCCACGCCGGGGGTCTTCCGTAGCCTGAGCGGGGGGCCGCTGGGGCGCCGCGGGGAGGACACGGAGCCCCTGGAAAGCCCGCCATGCTACGAGGACGCTCTTTACTTCCCGGTGCTCATTGTCCACGGTGACAGCGGCTGCCAGGGGGACGGGCAGGGGGCGCTCTGACACCCCCGGCCCCCAGAGTGGCCCCTCCCCACCATCCCACCATGGGCTTAGATGCTCAAGTAATTATTGTCCAAAACAGGAGGGAAAACAGACTAGCCGCACACATGGGGTGGGTGGGTGCGGGTCCTTACGCAGTCTACAACGCGGTCACCTAGGGACATTGGGGGGATGGACAGGACCTCAACTGAGTCTATGAACTGTCCCTGGCATGGATCTCCCCACCACCATCATGTTCCACCCACCTGATGGCAGATGGTCTGGTGAGGGGGTCTCTCATGCTGGGCAGAGGAGGAAGCCTCCAGAACGCCTGGGATGGGAGAGGAGTCCTGGTGACAGCTGTGGCCTGCATCAGAGGACTGCCTGTGGGCTCTTGCCTGCTGTGGCTGAGCCCTCATGCAACCCAGAAGCACAAGTTGGCGGTTTGGGGCCATGTCGAGCTGGGCTGGTCTCCCTGAAGCTGAAGAGCTGGCGATGGGGGCCCTGCAACCTTGGCCCACTGCCCACCAAAGTTATCCCTGCTCCTCCCCTGATGCACCCCTCCCTGCTTGCCCTCTCTCTCCCTCGGGGACAGTTCCCATCAGACCCTGTGGGTACAGCCCTCCCCCCCCCATCAGGAGCCTGATTCTTGGAGCACAGCCTTCTCCCCCACGGTTTCCTCTGCTGCCCACTGCACTCCCACATGCAGCTTCTCCTATAGCCTGGGCTCCCTCTCAGGGCCCTGCCGCCACCCCATCTCCCTGTCTCTGCTCAGCTTATCCTCCCTCCCGAAGTCCCCTTCCGCTATGTCGCCCACGCACATACCTCCAAGCTTTGTCTTTTCGTCAGTCCGGGACTTTTCTGCTCTTCACATTCCTGATGACCCCAGGGCCACAGGGCATCCAAGGGGCCTGGCCTCTTGGACAATGCCCTTGCTCCTCCGTGGGGGCCCCTGCTCCTCCCATCAGTGATCAGTGGGCCTGGCCCGGGAGACACCACCCCTCCTCCAGGGAGGAGAGAGTAGTCCCTTCCCTTCCAACTGGGGCGTCTACCCCCTCTCAGGGGCTGGTGGGAGGAAGGAGGCAGAGAAGAAGCCGCAGATAAAATAAAAGGTATGAAATGGAAAGTGTTCTCATGTGCATCCCTGAGGGCCCAGGCCACCACGGCCATCTGGGCCAGCGGTGCCATGCTGGGTTCTGGGAGGGAAGTGGGACTCCCATGTTCCTAGGAGTGGCGTGAGCTGAGAGGGACTCTCCCTGCTCATCCAGGGACTTGTAAGGCTCAGGTCTGAGTTTCTCTGAGCAGAAACCAGCTGACCTCACTCCCGACTCTGGTGCCTGGGTCTGGGTCATTTGTAAGGCATTGTCTTTGGTGGCCCCTTCTCCAGCTCTGGGGGGGCTTCCACTCTGCTGCTGGGGGTGCTGAGGACCAAGGGTAGGATGGCTGGTCTCCACAGTGGGGAGAAAGAGCTGTGGCCTGTGGCTCAAGTTCAGTTCCCCTGGCGGCTGTTGGTGGTATCGGTCTCAGGGGGTGGGCCCCAGGGAGGCTGGATGACACAGAGCTGGAAACACCCAAATCAGGACAATCTGACATAGCGATCCAAGAAAAAATGACAAGGCCAAAGGGAGAGCCTCACTCGCTGAGGGAACCCAGAGAGGTTCCTGGAAGTGGTATCAGCGCACGTACAGTTGTGCAGGGTGTTCCCTGCTCAAGGGTACTAGGCTGAGGGGCAAGTGTAGTGGACTGCAGCCTGTGCTCCACTCCCCAAGCCTGGCATGCTGCGTTCCCTTGGAGAAAGGACACCCTCTTCTAATTTGTGCAAAGGGGCCATAAGAGCTAGTGGTGGCCCTGGAAGGGTGCTGAGAGTGGGTGGGATTTCAGAGACGGGGGAGAGGGTGTTCTGGGCAGTGGGAGCTGCCTAAGCAAAGGTCTGGAGGCAGGGCATGTGAAGCAGAACAGTTGATCAGTTTGAAGAGGAGGTAATAGCAAAGAGCTATGGAAGGTTGACAATACCAAACCCCAGAATTTGTGTTTAAACTGTGGCAGACTGGAGCCACGGAAGGTGTTTGAGCAAGGCAGTAATATGGTCAGGGTTGCATGTTAGGATATTTAGCAAAAGTCCAAACGTCTGCTGGTCACGTGGAGGGGTGGGGCTAGAGACCAGAGCCTTCTCTGCCCATCAGCTTCACTGCCTCACTTCTTGAGGAGAGAAATCAATTCTTTGTTTAGAAGCAACTTGGGTGGAAAACACTACTGCATTCAGGAAGACCACAGTGGGCAGAGAGCGTCAGTGTGCTGACTCCAGCTTCTGCACAAGGAAGATTTTCCTCTTCCATCATCCTGCTCTAACCCCATAGCCACCAACTGCCCACTTGCCACTACCCTTGCCCCGCCTCAATAGCGGAACCCCAGTTTTTGTTTTTTGAGATGACAATAAGCCCAGCTAAAAGGCACATGTACAGTTTCCCTTGCACATATGATATGACTACGTGGCTTAATTCTAGGACTTGAGATATAAGCAGAGGTGTTGGAAGGGATTTCAGGAATGCTCCTTGAAATAGGAATGATATTTGTATAGGCTCTTTGTCCTCTCTTCTTCATTCTGCATTCAGCCTGGAATACAGTCGTGATCATTGGAACTTAAGCAGCTATTTTGGATCAGGAGGTGATCTTGAGACTTGTAGCCATGGGCTACGGATAGCAGAGCAACAAGATAAAAGAACTTGGACTTCTGATGACACCATGGGAGCTTCCATATCATCCCTGCTTTGCCTGCTCCAGACTCCAATGAGAACAAGAAATAAACTTCTAGTTTGTTTAAGCCACTATTTTTTCTTGCTCTGATACTAGCAGCCTGTGAATTACCTATTGCTGCCTGACAAATTACCTCAAAACTTAGTGGCTTAAAACAACAGTTATGATTATTATCTCTCCTGGTTTGTGTGGGTCAAGAGCTCAAACAGGGTACAAGGGGAACGGCTTACCTCTGCTCTACGATGCCTAGGGGCTAGAACCATCTGAAGACTTGTTCACTCACATATCTGGCAGTTGATACTGGCTGATGGCTAAGGGCATAACTAGGGCTGTTTGCTGGCACACCCACTCATGGTCTCTTCCTGTGGCTTGTGCTTCCTCAGAATACGGTGGCTCTGTTTCCAGGGCAAGGGTACCAAGAGGGTGGAAGCTTTGTGACTGTGGTGCGATAGATCACTTTTGTGTGGTCTTTCTCGCCACGGTCTTGTAATTCCTACTCAGATGACTGTGCGGGACTGTGCAGGTAGGGTAATTGTGGCCCACTAAAGGTGTTGGTATCCAGCTAGGCTTGAGGTGAGCTATCCTAAAGGCAGGAAAGAGAAGATCCCACCACCACCAAGGAAGAAGAGCCAGGAGGGAAGAGCGTGTCCTTTGGACCCGGGATCCCTGTGCTGAGAAGCTTCTGGAACCAGGAGACAGAGATAGTAAGATCTCAAGAAGTGATGGCAGAGAAATGACGGCAGGAGAAGGCGTGGTGGGCTTCCTGGCCCATGGAGCAAGAAAGCTGAGTGCCTTTGGGCAGGAGACTTGCTGGTGGAGTAGAGTGCTTCTGGGCACTTATTAGCAGAGCTACAAGAGCTGTGTAACACTTGCCCAAGCAGGGCAGAGGCTGAGGGCCAGAGGGGCCTGCCTGTGGGCACGGCTGGGAAGAGGCTGTCCTAATAGAAGAACCGTATCCTGAGTGTTCCTGAGCCTGAATAGTAACCTGTTACTTCCCTAGTAAACCACATGATTGTGAATATTGTCTGTGAGTTCTGTGTGGCCATTGCAATGAATTACTGAACACAGCAGAGAAATAGGGAGCGTCGGGGAGGAACAGTCATATCAGAATTGGTAAAGATGACAGAGAGAGGAGGCATGTCTGACCTTCATCTCATAGGAATCAGCCTTGGGCTGTTGATCTGGATTCTCCTTCCCCGTTGTGAAGTTAGAGGAGGTCAGACAGCCCCCGTGCCATTTTTACAGTGATCTAGCCTCAGAAGTCACACAGGATCCCTTCTGTCACATTCTGTTGGTCAAGGCTATCACAAAAGTCCACCCAGTTACGAGGGGTGGGAACATAAGACCGCACCTCTGGATGGAGGCTTGTCAAAGTCACATTGTAAGAAGAGCACGTGGGAAGGGAGACATATTAGTGTAGACGTCTTTAAAAAATATATCCAGCCACTGAGCCCAATGCCATTCCTGATTGGCATCTATGGAGTGGTCTGCGAAATGAACACCAACCTTTTTAAGATGCTGGTTTGAGGAAGTAGGGAGGTGGCATGTCATACGTGGACCTCCTGGGGACAGAGTGAGCTGCTCATGTCATTTATTGGGGTCTTCAGGCCCGTGGTAGGTTAAATATGGCCACGAATGCTTTGCAGTTCCTCCCAGCAGGAGATGGAATCTATTTCCCCACTCTTTAAATTTAAGCCGGCCTTGTAACTTACTTTCACCGATAGAATGTGGTGGAAGTGAGGCTGTACAACTTCTATGATAGGCCTCAAGAGGCCTTGCAGCTTCCACTTTTGCTCTCTTGGAACCTTGAGACCAGGCTGTGAAGATGCCCAGCCTAGCCTGCTGACACACGAGGCCACACTGAGGAGAACCAAGGCCTCCAGCCAAGAGCCAGCACCAGCTTCCAGACATGGGAGTAAGGCCATCTTAGACACTCCAGCCCTAGTCGAGGCTCAGATGACTGTAGCTGCAGGAGTGACCCCCCACGTGAGGCTGAAAGACAAACCAGCAAGCTGATCTTAGCCCAAATTGCTGACCTACACAATGGTGAGAAATAAGAAATCCTTGTTGTTTTAAGCCACTTAGTTTTGGGTTCCTTTGTTACGTGCAACAGATGGCTGATGCAAGGCTCTGGACCCACTCCTATCTCATGATGGAGGGTCACTGTGCCTGCCCAACCTGGTGGAGAATGGAACCAGAAACCCTAGTGTTTGATGGCCAGCTCCCATCTGAGGTCCCCTGATGTCTCGTGTTCACATGTGCAGTCTCTACTGGAGCTAACACCAAGCCAGGATGTTCTATTCTGAACCATCCCCAAAAGGAGAGTTAATGCCTGCAGAAGGGGCAGAGCTATGCTCCAAAATCCCAGGGGCTTCTGCCTCTGTCCTCTCATTAAAGCCTAACACAGGCTACACGTAGCCCTGAAGAAACCTGGCACCCAGTTTCCACGCTCCCAGCTCTGCTCCTCTCTCAGTCTTTTTCATCTCAGTAACTGGCTCCACCCTCCACCCAGGTGCTTAAGCCACACACCTGCCTGGCAGTCTTTTTTTTAAGCTTTGCATTATGTACAAGTTCAAATATCACAAAAGTCAAGATACTGGTGCAATGAAGGCCCTTGTACTCAGCATCCAGTGCTATGGCCTCCATCCCCTTTTGACCACTCGTGTGTCATCCGCACAGCCCCCCTACCCTACTTCTTCCTGCTCTAGCTGGATTACGTTCTGTCTAATCTTTTGAGTTGCTATTGTCAGTTTGATCCCATATAGATAGCTCTTAAAAGAACACAATACTCAAGGCAGGCATTCTTACTGTCTCATCATTTATTATTAATTATTATTTTTAT